GCCCTCCAACACTCGCCTCTTCTCCAAAGCAACACGTTTCCACTGCTGATATCCCTGTGAATGATGGGGAGCGGTTTAATAAGATGGAGGTAGTTAAGACCTTTAGCGATGTCTAAAGTAAGGTTCAAAACTTCCTTGGGAGTTAATTCTCGTTCGGATAACAAACGCCTCAGGCAAGTATCGAGTAACTCAGTGACAAACAATGGACTACCATCGTCATTTGTAGCGCCGATAAACTGCAACAGATTTGGGTGGCGACAGCGCGATGCAATGTTCATTTCTCGTTCAAATAATCGACGGTTGAGATCAGAGAGAATCAGGTCATGAATTTTTTTAACAGCAACTTTGCAACCGCGAAACATTCCCTCGTTAACAATTCCCCAGGCTCCCTTGCCTAAGACTTTTCTGCCAAGAGTAACTTCCTTTCGTAACAGGATCCAGTCACGGGTGCCGCTTCGTAGGACCTCTGACATTTCTTCTTGAGTTGTAGACAGGGCTGATTGTAAATCTCTTTCAATAGATGCATGCCTGTCCTTTTCTTCTGCAAATTGAAGCTGCAGTCGTCCTACTGTTTGCTCCAAAGCGGTCCTCTGTTCACGCCCCTGTTCCACTTTAAGTCGTAGTTCTCTTATGATGAGCTCATTTGCTTCGAGCTGGAGTTGGAGAGAATGACTTGATACTTGTTCGGCTTGCAATCTTTCTTCCAGTTTGGTACAAAACTTCTGCTGCTGGCTCAATTGATTTTTTATTCCAGATGTCACTTGTTTGTTTTCTTCAAGAAGCACCTGTAATTTATTAACAGCAGCTACTTTTTCTCTAACCTCCACTTTCTTTAATTCGCACATACGAGATGTATCACGAAGTTGGTTTTCCAAGGTTCTTGCCCGTTCATTACCAGCATTCTTCACTCGGCTTAATTCTTCTTCCAGTCTTGCTCTTTTTTGTTGTTCTTCACCAAGAGCGTTCTCTAACATACTGGATAAAAGTTTTTCTTTTTGCAACTTCTGTTTTCTCACATCACGAGTACGCTTATCATCGTCAAGAGCATGTCGCATCTGTTCTGTACCACTCTGAACTTTCAATTGAGACTGGCGCAACGGTGTAATGGTTAGTTGTACATCATCAGGACTGAGAAACTGTTCTTTTTTCAATAAACTATTGGCGACTGAAAGAAAAACATCGTCGAAAAAACATCAGAGTCGCATAGCTAAATTTTAACTAGTGGTCTGATTGGCTATCGAAAAGAGGGTATTTACCGTGGAATTGCACTTGTGCACGAAAGGATATTGCTGACGTGGGTCGCGAGCAAAAATTGTTGCTATCATAAAAACAAAAATGCAAGTCTTGCTACGAAAAATACCACCTTGGAAATGAACAAATTTACAGAAAATGAATGTCTGCCAAAGAGTTTGGAAAATTTGAGGAAACCTCTCACACCCAAAAGTACGAGGAAACGCATTGGAGAAAAACAAAATGGCAGAGACGAGGGAAGAAAGCCAAACAACAGTTCTAGCCACGGAAAACCAAATTAGCATCGCGAAAGAAAACCAAACAGGTTTGTCACCTTTTGAAGAGCCAAAAAAAAAGCGTTTTTCAAAGTGAGCCAGAGGTTCTTCCCTGTTTTGAAATGAACCAAAAATTCTTGGAGAGGCGTAAAAAACCTCTTTCGCTCGCGAAAACGAGAAAGCGAGAAAATCTTGTGAACACGGCCCAGAAAATGGCAAGCAAAAGTTCAACCGAACAAGACGAAGAAGCGACAACGGAAGAGGTGCCAGGGTCGATTGTCATATATACAGAAGAATAAATAAATACCTTTAATCGCGATGTTAAACTTTCAGTACTTTCGCTCTAATTTCTTTCAGTTTTGCCACCAAAGAGGTAAAAGGTGTAAATTATTTTCCTTCTCGAGCAAATGATTTGAAAAAAGATGTCAAAGATAAACGGCTTGTAAATTCAGTGAAATATCACTATTATCTTAAAGAAAGTGTGAAGCTTGTTTGAAAAGTTTGAAAACAAATGTAGAAACAAGCACAAGGTACAAATAAAATTGTCGAAGATTGAAACATGTACGACTGACCTTGCTTCCTATTCGCTAACGCAATGACAGTTCTGACAGTTGACTTTGAAATGGCTTTCCGGGGCGCGCGCTCACGATAAAAACAAATAATATTATTACTGCTTTCTTTTTTTCCTTATTTTCATTCAATTGTGCGAAAAATTCACTGCCTGACGAATGAATTCCACGTTAAATTTCACTTGAAATACAGATATTCGTGATATTTTCACAACTCTAGCTTTTTAATTAAAAGCAGTCAAACTTTGGTAATTTTGAGAAATGGAAGAAGCAGTTACGGAAAGATCTTCCCGGTTTCGACCGCCGAAAAGTTGCAAAGAGGAGGTTTCTTTGCTCGAACGTTCAAAGCCTAAAAGTACTCAGTACAAAGATAAGTGGGCTGTTGATGTTTTCCGAAAATTGGCAAGCTGCGGGCGAGAAAAAATTTCCTTTTCTTGAGCCGGAAGTGTGTTCAAAGATTATGATGTTCACCGCATGCATAGTCTTGAAGAAAGGTTTGAAGACCTGGACAGCCTTTCCCAGAACTTCTGGCTTATGTTATGGGTATCAAGGGGCATCCATGTGACCCAAATGAGGCCACACAATTGGCTAATTACCTCGTGCATTATTAATGAGTTTGAGAAGTACTTATCAAATCAACGCCCTTTTCATCAGTATCACTGTCCTCTTCTTGCAGACGTTACACGTTCGTCCAGGACATCCTTAGCACGTCTTGAATGAAGGGGGAGGGGGGTTTAAAATTTACTTGATCCCCCCATAAGGTTCTGTAATATTCTTATGATTCCCCCCTTCTTTGACAGTTAACTGGCAGTCAGTTTTCTATAGCCCCTATTTTATACTCTGTTGGTGACGACTGATTCCCACCTCCTTTCCCCATGAAAAATTTCCCTATCTTTCACACCTCAGTGATTCTTCTTTTCTCGGAAATTGTAATTTTTATCATTAATTGGTAATAAGACTTTGTGTCGTCCAATTAAGTCTTCAGTCATACTCGTGATACACTAATCGGACTCCTGCTTCGCGGTCATCCGATTTTGTTACCACTCGCATAATTACGGACCGAACTGGACTCTATTCGGTCCTGTTACTATGATACGAAAGCTGTTTAAGCTTCCTTTGCCATCACCGTTATTCCTGTTATTGCAGGAATAACGGTTTTTATAATCATTATTATTATTATTATAATTATCCTTATTATAATTACTGTTGTTATTTTTATAACTATTATTTTGCATGCAGTCATGGCAAAAGTGTTGCAGGAGTCCCGCACACTTGAGAAATCATCACCATAATTTAAGGTTTGCCGGTGTGTTCCAGATCATCTCGTGGAGGTACTAATGATTATCAGAGAGTGTGACATGATCTTGGCCATAATTTGAAGAAAAGGAAGCCATACTTGTCTGAGCCACGTCGAAACCTTGATATTTTCAGGCTCTTTTTTACTGGAATTTCTTCTTTTCAGTTAATTATTTATTATCATCTAGCGACCAAAATATGATTCATTTCAAAACTTTGTGAATCTTGTTTTTTCATTCCATAGTACTTCAATTTCCATGTTCTCTTCACAGTTCCACCATTCTACCGCATCTCATTTATTTCTTACCTATTACGTCACAGCATTCTAAGTCTAGTGATTCTCACGCTTCCTTGGGATTTCCATTGGTGTTTCAGAGAGTGACAGCTCGTGTCGACTTCAGCAAGTTCAATGTATTGCTCGAGACATCGCCCAACGCACTGAAAGTCATAAAGAATGAGGCAAAACTGGAATGCAGCAGCAGCCCTAATTCTAACGAATATTTTCCCGCTGGAACGTTCGACCAAATTAACACTGCACACAATCTCCTTCGAGGTATTTTGAAAGGATCTTCTCTTCAGTTATCGATCTGACTGTTCTCCATTATATAAAAGCTCTGAATGATCACGGTTTTAAAGGGTCATCTACACAAGTCGGTATGAACGTCCGTTGCGAAGGAGGAAGTGGGGGGCGTAACTTAACCCATGTTTTGGTTTAGTATGTGCCGTCGAGGATTATAAACCCTGACGCCGCGTTGGACAGAATTGCTCAAAAAGAGACCCACTTCCCGTCGGAAAATGCTCTCTATATTAAAGCAGTTCTTAAAAAAAGATTAGTTGGCACGAAAATTTCAATTATTTTAAACACACCCAGCGATCTTGTTGACTTATGCAATCGTGCTTTTTTCCCGAAAGTATTAAACGAAAGAGAATGATGCTTTTTAATATCTTGCGATTAGGAAATCCACTCCAATTATTTTTCTCCCCTACCCATCTCTCATAGAAAGTATCTTTGTAGTTTCCCAACGACCTGTAACCTTTCACAGTCCGAAAAAAAAACAAAAAACGGAAACAGCTAAATATCGGATAGGTTCCATTCCTGGAGGACTAGTGCGAAGATTTGAAAATAATTCAAGAAAGCTTCTTCGTTGTGACCGTTCTGCTTTGAACTAGCCAATAAGAAACGTTCATCTCTAGGTACATAAAAGCAGATCCTTTTTCGCTGACAAAGCAAAACAATTATATGTAAGTATGTCCAACGCTTGTTGATATGCTTTTTAAAGTTTGAGCCGACTTCTTCTCTCAGTAGTTTTGTAAACCGAAGAATTTAGCGAAATATTTTATGGCGCGTATATTTTGACAGTAGCCGTCCCCCATCGTTTATTTCACGCGGCTCTACATAGCCAAACGTTATCAGAAACTGTTCACAATTTTTAGGTTTATAGATGAACTGGAACTGAGACATTTTTAAATGCTTGTCTCAAAAAGATTGAGCCCCGTCCCCTTAGGCGTTTGAGGTAAGCGTGTGTATGAACGTGTAAACACTTAGGTACACCGGAGGAAACTGCTTCGCTTTGGAGTTTAATTCGGCTTCCTTCGTAAAGCGATTACATAACTTGTGATAATTTGCTATTTTGACGGTCGAAAGTTGCATCAATTTTCGGTCCTTTATATTTAGAAACTCAAAGGTTCAACTAAATTTATTAATTTCATCAACAATATCTAAACTTGGTCAGTTTGCGCATTCTGGACACTACACTGGTTAGAAAGCTAAAGTTAGCGCGTGCCTTTAGAGTAATTCATGCGCAGAGAAGCAAAGTACCGTCGTGGCTGGCCTTACTCACGAACGCAAACAACGTTCTGACATTTAAAATCAAGCAGTATGCTTTGAGTTCTGTGTTCTAAACTACTTGGTCTGAGCTCCATGTTATGAACTCTTTATCCCTAGATACCAATCTCGTGACAAAAGCATTCCTGAACCAACTATGCGACTTGAACCAACGAGACATATCGAGAACTAATGAAACTACCTAAAAGGGAGGGAAGATACAATACAAATGAGAGTTTACAATGCAGTAACACAGTTTTTCGCTGACTGCACGGTCTGCCGCCGCAACCATCCTCGGCAAGTAAGGTGACACCGATAGCTGTAATTATGAAGATTGTGGCTTACTCAAATCGTCAACAACTACAGGGGTAGCGCGGTGCGAGGTGACAAATAATTCAAATTCCACTAGGTAGATTTAAACTGATTTAATGACAGATCAAAAGTTATAATACAATTCCAGGAAATCTCTACCGGAACCTTTATTGTAGATCACGTAATCGACTTCATAATAACTAAACATAAATCAAAGGGAAGTTTGTAGGAAATTAGTAAAACAAGCGGCGTTTCAAAACTAATAATAGCATCCATACACATATCATTCCTTTATTGCGCCAATTTCACGTGATATTGGGTCAACGCAACGCACAAAATATGTGACAGTATCACTCTAAGTAACAAGGCAAAAAGCGAAGCGAAGGAACAAAATGGCTGAACAAAACGATCCGAACTTGACTTGTTCACGTCTTTTGGGCGTGACTTTTTAAGGGAGGAAATTTAACTAAAACACATTTATGAAGTGAACACAACGAAACTTCCGAAACAGGAAAATTCTATTTTTAAAATTACAGAGCAAACAGAAAGAACCAAACATCTAAAAGTCGGACACGTCAACAATTTCATTGTCGAAATCCGAAAGGAAAAAGGCTAGGAAAAGAGATGCAAAGCAATCTGAATGTGCTCTACAGATGGGAGAAATCTGTAAGCGAAACTAGTGGAAGTAGCTCGGAAACAAAATGGAGGCGAATATGAGCCTGACTCTCTTGCGTACATGTGAAAGTTACGAAGTTTCGACTGTAACGACAAAATACCAACAGACCACTGAAATTGAAAGAAACGCAGGTTTAGAACCTGCATAACAAGAGGCAACCTTGTAATGAAACACCATACAGTCTTTTGTGCACAGTTTGGTTTAACAATGTCCTGTTCTTGTGGGTGTGCCCGCAACGAAAATCACTGAATCAAGATTATAAATTCAAGTAACCAGAAAAAGCAGAATAATTATGAATTAACTAAAACTTGAAAGAGGAGAGTTTTCATACTCGTTTGCTCAATATGAGCTCATCAGTCATTAAAACTAACTCAATTATAGACTCGACTCTTTCAATTTATTCTCGTGTAAATAACACTTGTTCCAATGCTTTTTATTACTTGTATGGTATAAGAGGAATTAGGAAATATCTTTCTAGGTGGTCCACTGAGACACTCAATCACGCATTTTTTTCAGGTCGTGTAGACTATTGTAACAGGCTGCTCCATGGCCTGCCAGCCTACCAGCTTAATAAGCTACAGAGGGTCCAAAATGTTGCTAGGTTAATTTTCCAGGAACCTAAATACTACCATGTAAGACCGTTGCTGTATAATCTGCACTGTATGGCTGCCGCTTAAATTCCGAATAGACTTTAAGATGTTATTGTTGACACATAAGGCATCAATGGCTTAGCGCCTTTTTATCTCTAGAAACTTACTAGTCTTATTAGTCACTGGGAGCTGGTCACTATGTTGGTTCCAAATAAACCCGTGAAGTGGTGAACAAACGGTTGCGAATATATGGAAGTCATATATTTAAACTGCGGTTAAAGACGTGAATTTGAGCTCCCAGTTGGCTTGTTAGCTCAGTTGGTAGAGCACTGCACCAGTATCGCAGAGGTCATGGGTTCAAATCCCGTACAGGCCTGAATTTTTTTCAGGCCTTATTTTCATTACTTCTTAAGTAGTGTTCATTACTGCGAAGATCGCTTTCAAATTCATTGTTATTATTAATTATAGCAGCGGGCGTATTATTTTACAAGAAGCTTTAAAGCTAAGAAAAATGTCAATCAAATTGTCTTAACAAACCTCAATTAGTAAGGGTTGTGCCTTACCCACGTCCCAGATACGTGGGTAAGGCACAAAACGAGAAAAAACGAGGAAGGATAAGAACGTCTGGCCGCTTTAATACCATTGAAGATGAGCTTGAGCTTGAGAACTCGAGCGGGTTGCGGCAAAATGTATTTATCGTTCAGAATTCCATATACAGCGAAGGATACGAGGACCCTACAGCTTAGCCGAATTGTCTTAGGTGGCGATGTACATACAAATCCAGGGCCTTCAAGTAAGAGAATGCCGAAAAACCCGTGTAAGGAGTGCGAGAAAACTGTTCGGTCAAACCAAGAGGCCTTGTTGTGTGTTCATTGTAACAGTTGGTCGCATCTTAAATGTATAGGCCTAAGAAAGGCTGAATTCAAGTCGTACAAGGTTTGCCCTGAAATACAATGGACCTGCTCTCTATGCTTGCTTCCATTTAGCCAAGAAGAATGCTTGAAAAATTGTCTACAAGAAGAATTTATTTCGATAAATAACAGTGTGGAGGAAGATGATTATGCAAATAACAATGCTGGCGAAGCTGTTTATGCAAATACATTGGACGTAATGAAACCCTGCATAAGGGAATCCCCTGGGAGAGTAATCGTTGAGGAAAGGGAAAGGAATTCAAGCGGAGCCCTTATTGTTCATCTAAACATCAATAGTATACAAAATAAATTTGAAGAACTAAAAACATTGAACAATTCCCTTAGAGCACATATTATAGTAATATCTGAAACAAAAGTGGATAGTTCCTATCCCAACAGTCAATTTAACCTCCCAGGATACCACATGTATAGAGAAGACAGAAAAAAGGGTGGAGGCGGACTGTTAGCATACTTCTCTTCAGCTCTGCCTTCTAAGAAGCGGGCCCTGCCAAAGACCTACAAGACCCTCGAGGCAATTGCTGTCGAGGTGAAGATAGGAAGCAATGATTTGTTAGTTCTGTCAATCTACAGGCCCCCAAAACAGAAAAGGAAGGGAAACGAGTCCAGCCTCCAGGATCTTAAAAGTGTTGAGGAGGAGCTTAACCACATCTGTCAGTGGGCGTGTTTCCAAATGCAGTCTGTCATCATTTTAGGTGACCTTAATCTGGACAGATTGAGATTGGATCGTGCTGAGGGGAAACTTCTGAAGGACCTGGAAGAAGTCAATAATCTACAGTGCATGATAACTGAACCAACTCGAGTTACAGCTCACTCGGAGTCACTTTTGGACGTTATTCTAACCAACAATCCTGAACTGTTCAAGAAATGTGGGGTTTATCAGCCAGAAATGAGTGACCACCATATGGTGTTTGGAGAAATGATGGAGAAAGTCCACAAACACAAGACTCGCACTACCACTTTCCGGCCGCCAAAAAGTACTGATTTCGAACAGCTTAACCGGGACTTGAAGGCTGCCCCCTGGCATGTAGGAGAGACTTTTTGTAATGTGGACGATCAATATGATTATTGGAAGGGACTATTTGAGAGCGTTGTGGATCAACACGCACCCACTAAAAAGAAACGAGTCAGGGAGAAAGATATACCCTATATGACTCCAGAATGGAAGCAAGCCATTAGAGATAAGAGAAAATTTGCAGTTCAATTTGCAAAGGATCGCTCTCCTGAAAACTTTGAGCTCAAACTGTTAAGATTGTTTATTTTAATTTTTTTAGTTCACGCACTTTGTTTTTATTTCTTTCATTCATTTATTTTTTTGCTAAGAATTATGGTATTGCGCAAGTTTAAGTTCACGCGGCCTCGGTCAAAGTTCAATTAGAAGTAATAAGTTCATTTAGGAGTAAGAAGTGCTTTAAGTTCGCCATCAAGTTCAAGTTGACTGACGCCTTTCCTTTTAGTATTTTCACTGTGTGGGTCAGATATGTGAGTGTTTTGTTTCTTTTTTATTCTAATGTAGTTACAATTGATTAATTTAGTGATTACACGATCCATTTCCAATTCAACCCTTTTGTTTTTAGTTTATTTAGCTTTATATTTAGTTGTATTTTGTAATCGTTGTCTTCAGTTTATGAGCATTATCGAACCGTCCTCGTCGACACAATAAATTCGTTTATCACCGTCTTCAAGTTTGGTTCTTTGGTTCTCCGTAAATTACGCCCCCCACCGATTCGCGACACGTCCTGTATTCCTCGATAGTCGCTGTCGCCACACAAACGAAAATACAGGAACATTGCAACACGGGAACGTAGAAAGGCAATAAAGGCCTACTGGTATAGAAAATCGGAAGAGCTGAAATCTAAGCCCAGCGAGTTTGTTAACACATTCAGGCCATTCATCAGTACAAAGACAAAAGACACCAATGCTATATGTTTGAAATCTGAAGATGGCGAGGTCGAGAAAGACCAAGCTGTGGTGGCTGAACTCCTAGCAGGCCATTTTAATACGGTGGCAGCGAATATAGGAGGCAACCATATCACCAGCCTAACCGAGAATGATCATAGGAACCACAGTAGTGTCAAGGCTATTGAAAGTGGTTACAAGGGGAATAAATTTGATTTCAAAGAATTTAACAAAGAGGAAGCGCAGTGTGCTCTTAAAAATCTTAATGTAAGAAAGTCGTATGGGTGGGATGTGACAGCACCACCAAAACTCTTTAAGGGAGTGGCTGAAGGAATTGCACCATCCCTGACTAGACTTTACAATAACTGTATTGACTTAGGCGAGTGGCCATCTGAATGAAAGAAAGGCGAATGGACCCCTGTATTTAAAAAGGGAGACAGACAAGACAAATTGAACTATCGTCCAATCTCTTCACTTATATGTGTGGACAAGATTTTTGAACACTTACTCAGCAAACAAGTGACCAGACATTATGACCCTGCTCTGTACCACAGGATGACAGCTTATAGAAAACAACATAGCTGTGAGACAACCCTGCTGATGTTGATTGAAGACTGGAGGTCTGCAGTGGACAGAAAGGAGCTGGTAACAATATTATCTGCTGATATGAGTAAAGCATTTGACTCGTTAAGCTATTCACTCACTCTAAAAAAGCTGGATGCCTACGGTTTTAATAGCAGTTCACTTGAACTGATTAGATCATTTTTTGATAGCAGGCTAAACAGAGTAAAAATAAATGGCCACACGAGTGAATGGAGAATTATGGAACGTGGTTGTCCTCAGGGATCGTCATTTGGCACTCTCCTCTGGAACATGTTCCAAAATGATATGGCATTTCATATCCCTGACTCAAACCTTACGCTCTATGCTAATGACCACCAATTATATGTGACAGGAAAAACCTATGAAGAAGTTGAATCTACTCTAGTGACTCAGGGTCAACAAGCACTGTTATGGTATAGGGACAACTTCCTCTTGGCAAATCCAGATAAGTTTCAGTCTCTTACGATTAACCCAAGAAACATAGATGCAGATAAGAAGGGCAGCGTTCTCACCATCGCCAATGACGAGATCATGAAAACTGAACAAATCAAGCTATTAGGAGTAAATATAGACAAGAACCTTAACTTTACACAACACATTAGCGAAATATGCACTAAAGCCAGCCAGAAAGTAGGAGTCCTCATGCGCTTGCGCAACCTAATACCATGCCAAGCTAAGCTCATACTGTATAAAACAGCTATAATGCCACATTTAACATACTGTCATTTAGTCTGGAACTTTTGTAAATCTTCAGATGGGCGAAAAATCGAACGCATCCAAGAGCGAGCTCTGCGTGCGGTCTTCAAAACAACAACAGAGACATATGAGGAACTTCTTAAGCGTGCTAAGTTACCTACGCTTCATAATAGACGCTTACAGGACATAGCAATACTAATGTATAAAGTAAAGAACGATCTAGTACCTAGCTACTTATCTGAGATATTTACTCGAAAGGGTACTCGTTATAACCTTAGGAATAGTGACTTTGAAATACCACGATTTAATAATAAACGCTATGGTAAACACACACTTAGGTATCAAGGACCATATATCTGGTCCAAATTAGAAAATGGTATGCGTGAACTACCAAGCCTTAGCATCTTTAAAACTAAAATCCGTAGAGTTGACCTGGCCAGCCTAGTGGAAGACAGTGGCAACTGCTGCAATCTTTGCAGCACGTGATTTTTTTAATTATCTGCATTGTACAAGTATTTTTATTATCTGAACATTGTTAATATTTCTAAATATTTTTAAATTTTAATGCATAGTTTATCGGCTATATTGTTACTTATTATGATACTGTACATAGTTTTTTATTAATTTTGTAATAGTAGGTGTCCCCAATTAGCTCTATGAGCTAAATACATTGACACGGTAATAAAGATTTTATTATTATTATTTATTATTATTATTATTATTATTATTATTATACGTTGCCTAACACGTGTTGGTGACTCTCTCTCTGGGAGCGAATTTTACCAGCTTCGTGCACTTATGAACATTTTGATAAAGGGTGATGAAAGCTTAGCATTCCTCAAATAATTTTTCAAAGGAGCGGTCAGTGTTGGTTCAACAGCAACTTTGTCGTCGATGACAACCCTGTGTATTTTCATTTCATATTCATGATCGATTTCCTGTAATCTTTGTCGTGCGCTTTGACAAACAAACGTAAAAACTTTTCCGTTGTTTCGTACTGATGAGGCCTCCGAGACAAGCCCGGAACACTTTTTCATACGTACACTTTACCTTCTCCCAGAAATCTCATCTTACAACTACTAAGACAAGCTCGGAACACTTTTTATATTTCTCCTCATTTATTCTTCTCTCTCATGTCATAATTTTTTCAAAAAAATCATGACATATTAACTTGTCAACCTTCAATATCCCATCACTCAAAACGAATTTAGATAAATTCAATCAGGTGATTTCAGTTTCATACCACAGGATCAGCGTCAATATTGTATCTTCTTATGAAGAAGTCGTGGTGTGCCTTGATTTTTACTTCTGTCAAATGAGTGTCTATGTAAATGAGAAAGGTATGGTTGTTTCATTTATAGATCCCACTCGCAAGCTCTCGATTGATAATGTTGAGCTGAGCATCTGAGAGGACGAAGATGTGGCATTTCACTATCCCTAAACCCGATGCTTTCCTGTTAATTGCGATCTGATCTCCTTCCTTCGTATTCACCAATCTCAATCCTGAACCGCGAAGATCCTTGTCTCTCATACGCCTAAGATCGATGAAAAGACCGAATCTTTCTCTGTTGCATTCATCGCGCGGTTCTCCTTACCAGGGAGTTCTTGACAGTAAATAACTTCGTACTCATACTGGATGTTAATCAATTCAATAGCAAGATTTGCTGGCTCAGATCGTTTTACAACACAACCGACAGGTGATCCTTCAGAATTTTATGATCCGCTTTTATGAGCGCTTTCAAAAGAACAAGCGATGAATCAAGAACGCTGATACCAGTCTAGCTGAAATCAATCCAACCTTAATGATATCATTATTTGTTTCACCAACATCATTGGTTGGTGGTGGTTTCTTCACCTGAACTTCAGTTGAAGTCTTGTTTATTGGATTTGAAGGCTGAGAAGTCGGTCTGTTAATCTTTGATGATCCCCCATCGACATGCTTAACTCCGAACTCTGATTTTTCAGAAAAAGATTTAAGGGCATGAGCTGAGTGCCTAGTGAGACTGCAAGATCAAGCCTGACTTTAGCCTCATCAATCGCGAGCTACCTCTGAACGCTCTTCTGATAAAATCCTCAACTAATACAAGGACCTCTCTTTGAGCTTCCTCAGCGCTTCCTGATGAACCTAAGATCGATGATCTAACATTGACTTAAGAACAATGAATGCAGTAAACGAATGCTTCAATCGACTGATTCAATCTCACCATCCCTGCTTGCGTCAGACCTTCTGATTTATCTGCCATGAAGAAGTTGAATGGCTCTCAACCTTTTTGTCATCATCCTTTCTGAAGTACATCGAATACCTTTGATGGCTTTTCAACCCACATCACTGAACTTGTGATTACAAGATTACCAGGATATGAGAATGAAGTTGTTCACGGTCCAGCATTAGTACTTCACGAGAGATTCCCCTTTGATTCTACACCTAAAGTGTGCTGAATTTTCGTTCTTATGAATATTCCCCTGAGTTTTGCATTGACGTATTGAGATGGGTAACAAAGATCTTGATCTCAGTCAAACGACTTATTGCATTTTCATGAAATGGAGATGCTGGCACCCCCTTCTTTCCTCTTCGATTCAGAGTGATTTCAAGGGGAAAACCTCCAATTCCAAGTGCTTTCTTCATATCATCATCCCAATATCTTCTGCCTGATCCTGTGACGCTCGATTGAACTCCATCTGATCGACTGAAGTAAACTTCAGTTGTTGTCTGTCTTTTATCATCGAACGACACTTAATCACTGAACTTAATTACTGAGGTCGGCATTTACATATCATGCTTTGGAGTCGTTCCTGGCTTTTGTTTTAGCTTTATCTGCAGTTTTATTCCCTTCGTCTGTTCTTACCCATGTGAACATTTTTATTGTTTGATACATTACTGTTAATTGTATTGACATTCATACCAGATTCGAGAGATCACGCGGCTCGCTTCAGAGAACCATTCGGTAAATTTCAACATATCAGGCTGGTGAATTGCTCCCTCTATAACTCTTGGTACAACTTAAGTCGTTCTGGAGAAATCTCTACATTCGATTCCCAGAACGATGCAATTGTAAAGAAAATTCCTGAAGGTAATTATTCACTCAAAACCCTTGGTGTAGCACTTCAAGAAATATTGAAGAGCGAAGGAGTTAAGGTTCAATTAAATACTCCAAATGGAGGTCCGGAAATCCATACTCCAAGGAAAGAGAAGATTCTTCTTTACAGTGATCTGGCTAATCTTCTAGGAATAAAACGACAACTACAAACCATCAACTTCTTCTAAAAGTTTACTGAATTTAACAATTATGTTGTCCACTGTGATCTCTTAGGCAATGATGAAAACTTATTCAATGGAGAGCCCTCAAGCTTTCTTAGCTGCTTCGACATAGTCAGGCAACCCTTAATAGGGTTAACTATCATTTGGAAATACCAATCCAACGGAAATATCTAAGAGGAATTATATCACGTCAAGGAAATTTGCGTTACTGATGAAGTGAATAAGATCATTGATTTCAAAGCCTTCCTTTGAGGTTTGAGTTAGAACTAGTTTTATGATTTAAAAAATGACTGATCAAAACATATTATTATTAAAACATACAATTATAGAAACTAGATCCGTTTGTCACACAACATCCACTGTGACTGGAGGAATGTCAGCTGTCTTGTCGACAAGCGGTCTGGCCCTTACTCGGAGTGGAATTGGGATGATTGTTGGAACACCCATGACTGCTTTAGCTGGCTTGTTTGGCTTTATATCAACAGCATTTATTATCGGAGCAAAAGACTCAATAAAAAAATTACAACACATAAAAAGACAATTTCAATCGCTGAGGCAAAGCACCTTTTAGTCAGCAGGTTAACTTCAAAGGCAATGAATGATATTTCAGTCTCTGATAATGAGGTCAACTCAATTTTGCGCGAGACTGACTAGTATTATTTACTGAAAACACAGCTGAGAAATAAAGCAAGAGGCTCTTCTAAGGATGACGTTGAGACTCTTAAAAAAACAAATAAAGAAAGAGTATCAAAAAAAAGGTCGGATCACTCGTAAACATAACGAAATAAGATTTTAGATATATGAAAATTCACATATTTGCACTGCGGTGGAAAGATGAAAA